CTTGTCCTCATACATTGACACTCCTGATTCTTGGACTTTCAGACTTAGATTCAGTTATACCACCAGCTTAACAGCTTTTCTGGTTCTCCAGAATGCAGATAGAAGACTGTGGCACTTCTTGGTTTCCAAAATTGAGTGAGCCAATTACTATAATAAAAATATATCTATACCTTATTGGTTTTGCTTTTCTGGAGAACCCAGACTAATACAACATACTAGATACTCTATTTGTATCATCTTCTTGAGGAAGTAGCTCTCACAGCCTGTCACCTGCTCAGACTGGATAGTCCCTGTGTCTGTTGCATAGCTATCATCCTGGAAGTTTCCCTTTGCCTTTATACTCCTGCATGAGTTTGCAAAACAAAATACCTTTTGTCTGTGTTCATACATTCCTGATCTCTCTCTCTCTTTTTATAAGGACACTAGACATTTGGATTAGACCATCACCCTTATAACCTCATTTAACCATCATTACCTCCTTCAAGACCCTATCTCCAAATCCAGTCACATTGGGGGTTAAAGCTTTAATACATAAATTTTGAGGTGCCACAATTTAGTCCATATCTAATATGGTTTCACTGTGTCCCCACCCAAATCTCATCTTGAACTCTAGTTCCCATAATCCCTACGTGTCATGGGAGGGACCTGGTGGGAGGTAATTGAAACACAGGGGCAGTTACCTCCATGCTGTTCTCATGATAATGAGTGAACTCATCTGCCTGAATTCACTCTGCACTTCTCCTTGATGCTGTCATGTGAAGAAGGGCATGTTTGCTTCCCCTTCTGCCATGATTGTGAATTTACTGAAGCCTCCCCAGCCCTGAGGCATTGTGAGTCAATTTAACCTCTTTCCTTTGTACATCACCCAGTCTCAGGTTATACCTTTATTAGCAGCATGAGAACAGAGTAATAAAATATCACTCAGTGATTTTCTTTGTCAATTTCTTCTCCTAAATTTCTTTTTTTCCTGGACCCTAGATCTTTATTTTCCTTGATTATATCATTGTTTTAGTAAAATTTATCCTCCAGTACTATCCAAAGAGAGGAAAATTTTTGAGACCTCATATATCTGAAAAACATCTTTTTCCCATTCTCACACTTAATGGTTTGATGGCTGAATTGTGCTTACAAATATTGAGGAGTAATTTCCTCTCTCCACCCAAGTTTGAATTAAGCTAATTTTTTTGTTCTCTCTTTCTGCAGGTCGGGTTTGTCTCTAGTTCTTGCGCAGGGTATGAAGTCCTTGCATACTAGTTTTTGTGACCATCCCTATTTATACTTTTCATCTTTGGTGCATCTTAGACTTTGTCTCCTTTCTCCCTTGTTCCACAAGCCATTAAAATAAAAGCTAAGAAGGTCTGAACTTGGCAGACACTCCCAGTACAAAAGCCTGCATCACTACTCACTTATGCCTCTGAATTACCACTCCCTCTTTGTTTTTGGAACACCTAACCTCTGCTAGATTAACAATGCATTTACAAATGTATTTCCCACATGTAATCCAACAATCATAATTGCTTGGAGGATGACTCTGAGTATGCAGTCCACCTGGAAACAGTAGTCATCATAAAGGACATCATGTTTTTAGAATGTGGGCATAATTGCAATGGGAGATAATTTCTAATGGACAAATGAGTTATTAATATCATTCATATAGTAATATTTACGTTAAAAGTAATAACAAATACTGGTCTTTATATGATTTTTATCCAATTTCAGTTATAATTGTTAGTTATCAATTTGAAGTTTAGTTTTTTGTAGAAACAATGTTGTTTAGTTCTGCTTTGTCTAGCTAGTACATGTGGAGAATGAGCGACTCCACCTCAGTACATGTTCCTGCTAAGTGACATTGACCTGTTAAAATTGTCAAACCTTGTTTCAGTTATGTTAGTTGTACTACTTTCCAAAGTGTATAAATTATGTTTTGCACTTCTTAGTCTTGACAAATGAAGTAGTTTGGTCATCAGTTGACTTTTTCTTCATCACTCTGTAATTATTACTAAGAGCAGCATGGGTCAATGGCAGAATCTTAGACTTCTAAGATCTGAATACAAATCTTAGCACTGTTACTTACTAACGGTGTGATCTTATTCAAGTTACTTGTAAGTGATGTGGTGAAGCTGGCTTGTGCAGGCTCACGAGAGCCTATTGAGTTTGTGTGAGCTGATTCTTTAACACGGACTTTATTAAAAATTATTCATATAAGCTTACAGGTAAATAATGTATATCAAAAACAAAGTTAGTAAACACTTAAAATCATTACTTAGCTAATTACCAAATTTCACTGTTTTCTGTGGTCTTGAGGTAATTTAGATCTCTTGTATCTCAACAGGAGAAACACTGTAATATGGGGTGCTGCTACTGCTCATCTTTTCCCAGCTCTGCCTTTAGTGATATCATGGTTGCAGAAATTGGCTGGTACTAGAAGTCATTATTTGATTTATTGTTTTGTTAGTTGTCTAGACCTTAAAAAGTGATAGGAAACATGTTAATAATACAGATTCAACTTAAAAGTAAGTTATGTTTGTGGCTGTGGCGTTGTGAGTAGCACTAAAAATTGAGGAGAGCTTCCAGTGTTTGAAAACTATTACCTGATTCAGCAGAGAAGTAGCTCATTTCTCTGGTTAAAAGTGAAGTTTTGGTACATCTTTTGTGTTCTTTTCCTTCTGCCTGTGAATATAAGCAAAAATATTAACCAAAAGTCATATGATAACTACACACATTTGTCAAATTACAACTGTAGGTTGGCTACTGATATGGTTTGGCTCTGTGTGCCCCCAAATCTCATCTTGAATTGTAATCCCCATTTGTTGAGGGAGGGACCTGCAATCCCCACACATCAAGGAATGGAGGTGATTGGATCACGGGAGTCGTTTCCCCCATTGTTCTCATGATAGTGAATGAGTTCTCACGAAATCTGATTGATTTATAAGTGTTTGAAAGGAAGCACTCCTCCTTCACTATTTCTCTTTATTTTGCCACCTTGTGAAGAAAGTACCTGCTTCTTCTTCCCCCATGATTGTAAATTTCCTGAGGCCTCCCCCGCCATGCAGAACTGTGAGTGAATTAAACCTCCTTTGTTTATAAATTACCCAGTCTCGGGTAGTATCTTTATAGCAGCGTGAGAACAGGCTAACACAGCTACCAATATGACTTTGCCAAAAATCTAAAAGGGCATTCTATGAGAATCAGTTGGTTATATGGAGCTCATAGAAAAGAGAATTGCATAGTTTATTATCTGTAAATTGTGTATTATGCATGCTTTATATCAGCAAAATTGATAATAAACATATATACATATAGGTCCATGCTTATTTTTTAACAGATAGTGAGTTAAATATATACCAATACACCACTGTTTAAGCTGACATTAAGCTTTTTCATTTATTAAATGAATCATCCAAAACTATGAGCATCATACTTCAAAAATTTTAGTTTTGCGTTTGTTCCTATTTCATTCTATGAATACCACTCTTCTTTTATCTCCATTCCTTCTAAACCCCCTATGTAGACATAACTTGAGAGTCACTGGAATGTGTAAAACTATTTGCTTCTATAATTACATGGCTCCAAAGTAAAATACTTTTGAATATTCATAGCTTTTTTTTGTATAGGTATTTAGTATTCAACTTTGATATCAATGATCACTTTTGCTTTTGTCAGAGCTCCTTCTTTTAGCAGTCTCTTCTGTATCCTTATGGGGCCGTCCATGATTTCTTATCACTCCTGCTGTCCTGAGGTTGGAACTGGAGACTATACCGTATCCTTTTAGATCTGTGCACAAAATATGAGTATGTAGATGCTCAATGAGGACCTAGAGGACCTTCCTGTGATTGTTTTCATCTACTTTACTCTAGCTGTGACCTCTTTTCTTACATAATAATTATAACATATTATACATTAGGCTTATAAAAAGGGATTGCGATATTATACATTAGGCTTATAAAAAGGGATTGAGAAAAATATAATAAACAGCCCATCATATACCTTCTACCTTTTTTAATGAATGAAACATAAGAGATACATTTGGGGGCCCTGTAGACCCCTCCCTGGTTCCACTTCCTTCTCTTTTCCTCAAAGGTGATCACTCACCTGAATGGATCATTCCCAGGCATGTGATAGTTCTACCTCACGTGTATATGCTCAGAACATACATGGATTGTTATACATAGTTTTAAATACATAAAACATGATAAACACACTGGATATGTTCTTTTTATTAAATTAATGGACTTTATATTTTAGATCAGTTTTAGGGTTACAGGAAAGTTGAGCAGAAAGAGACCTCCTCTGACTCCAGCCCACACTTGGATACATGCCCTTCCCTGGTTTCTGAAAAAGAAAGGGCCTTTACATTGGCTGTTATGTAAGTTCCCCAAACAGGAGACACGACATAGTTCACTCTGGTATTCCCTGGACTTGGTATCCTGCCTGACACATAGCATTTGCTGAATCAAGGGCAGTATGAATGAATGAATTTCAGATAGCAATATCATATCAACCATGGTGGAAACCAGGGCTCCCTCCCCTCCAGAGATGGACTGGACCATCACAGCCTCCACTGTCAGAGAATAGGAGAATAGGGTTTAAATATCAAGGGCCATACATAAAGTCCCGAGATCCTGTCATGTATAAGGACAAGGCGTGTCAGTCATGGCCAGGGGGAATGTTTGCAAGGAGGAGATGTTTCAACTCAGATATTTATAAGCCGGGGCCTGCCTCTGTTTACCAGCTGGGAGATCTTCAGATAATGAACCATGAAAGCCTGCTATGCAGCGGTGCTATGCAATAATTTTTCATTTGCCACCAGTCAGCTTCAGGGATCAAGGACAGCTAAACACATAACCCGCTCATGCATGTTATTTTAAAGGCGTATTTTAAAGTTGTAAATATGGTACATTGAGTTAATGAGGTATGTTCTTTTGGTGACAAATATTTACATTCCACATATGCCTCTTGATGTCAAGAGTGTAACTGTTTCATTTTCTTCTTTTTCTCAGGAGGCTGGGATGCAGATGGAAAAGGCCCTTGTGTCTGGGACACATTTACTCATCAGGGAGGAGAGAGAGTTTTCAAGAACCAGACTGGCGATGTAGCTTGTGGCAGCTACACTCTGTGGGAGGAAGATTTGAAATGTATCAAACAGCTTGGATTGACTCATTACCGCTTCTCTCTTTCCTGGTCACGTCTGTTACCTGATGGGACGACAGGTTTCATCAACCAGAAAGGCAAGTGTTTCTTAAAAATAGAAGGTTGCAGCTTTAATTCAAGGTTATTGCTGCAGTCTGGCATAATTAATCCAGTATGCTATTCTGCAATGTAGCTTTGAAATTGCAAGTTTTTAGAGTGATTATGGGATGAATTTTTTGAAATGGGTTTGCATTAGTTTTCACAGTAATATTTTGGTTTCCTTTGACTGTTGAGATCTTTTCTGGGGGTGGTGAGTGGGAGGGAGGTTAGAGTAAGTGTTTTATTATATAACATGAGTGTTAATCTGAAGGTAAATTTAAAAAATTTGTATTAAACTATTTTCAGTTGTGTAACCCTGTGATGAGTTATAAAAAGTCCTTAAGAACTCGAGATGATTCTAAGCACCTCAATTAGGGCTGAATTAGTGGAGCTAATTAACTAGCATAGGGATTAGCATCAAGGCCCCTGCAGTTCACTTACTTAAGGTTAAGTCCAGCTACATCACTTGCTATCTGGGCAAACATCTCTTGGGCATCATTCAGTGCCTCAGTTTCTCCATGAATAGAAAAGAATGCTGTAATAGTGACTAATTCAGAGAGTTATTGGAAGGTTAAATGAAATAATCTTAGTAAAGTGCTTAACGCAGTAGCTAACATTTCATAAGCATTTAGTAAGTGTTAGCTATTCTTCTTCTTATGGCTTGTGAGTAAAAGTACCACTCATTGCTCTATTGAATGCCTGTTATTTAGGAGGCATTTTTCACCCATTTTCTTTAATTCTCACCACCAGTAGGGAAGGCATAGTGATCATATTTTACAGAGGTGTATGTCCAAACCCACATATTTGGCAAATGGTAGATCTGTTATTTAAACCTAAGGTCTAGCAAGCTCTTTCTACAAAGCATGGTTGGAAAACAATGACCTGAAAGCCAAATGTGGCCTGTCACCTATTTTTGTTAATAAAATTTGATTGAAACATAGTCATGCCTGTTCATTATGCATCATCTATGGTTACTTTTCCACTTTAATGGCAGAACTGAGTAGTTGGGGCAGAGACCATATGGCCTGCAAAGCCTCAAATATTTGCTATCTGGTCCTTTACAGGAAAAGTTTGCCAATCCTTGCACTACAACATATGGTTTCTTAATGAAGACGCTTTATTACTACTTTGTCTTAGAAAAGATTTTACACTGTCCATAGGACTGGGACTAAGTGAAGCAATGAGGTGCCTAGGGCATAAAATTTAAGGAGAGCCTCTTAAATTTAAGGAGAGGCCTCACTTGTATGACTTAAGAGAACACCTGCCCGCCTCACCATACCTCCCACCCCAAGAACCTTCATTGATACAAAAGCATTATTCATGAGTAACTTACGTGATCCCCTATATAGAACAACCCTTGATGACAATTCCTAGATGGATTTGTGCACTTGAAAAGCTCATTTTATTTAAGGCGGGGTAATCTTTGCATCATGAAATAGAATTGCAACTCATGCACTCACAGGTAGAATCAACCTCAGAGTAGCTTCCCTCATGTAGGGACAGTGCAGGATTAGCAGGTCCTTTCATTCCCTGATTCTGAAGACATTGGCCCATGACCAGTTGCTCCTGTTGAGATGTCTACTTTCTTGCCATCACTGACTGGTTTTATTTATGTTGAATGGGAGGTAATTTGTTGTTCAGTTCAAAAGTGAACTCATTATCTTCAATCTTCCTAATCCAACATCTGTATTCTCCCTTCTTTCTGGCACCACCATACTCCAAAGTCTAAAAAACAAAAGTAACCTTTGAATCCTTTCTTGTGTTTTCTTCTTCCATCTAATGGGTTGCTGAATATGGTCCATTCTAATTATGACTTTTTAACTTATCTTCTAATCCCTCTTTTGGCCCCTGCCCTAGTTTAGGTGTTTATCATTCTTACAAGGACTTTTTGATATATTCTTGATGGATCTATGTGTTTTCCCCTTCTCTCTGTCCTTTACTTTCTATAAGATGCCATCATAGCAATTTTCCTAAAGCTCGACCCAAATCACATTGTTTTGATCATCTCCTGCTAAAAGTGAAGCAAGATGCACAGTGGCTCATGCCTGTAATCCCAGCACTTTGGGAGGCTGCGGCAGGTGGATCACCTGAGGTTGGGAGTTTGAGAACAGCCTGACCAACATGGAGAAACCCCATCTCTACTAAGAATACAAAATTAGCTGAGTGTGGTGGTACGCGCCTGTAATCCGAGCTACTTGGGAGGCTGAAGCAGGAGAATCACTTGAACTCAGAAGGTGGAGGTTGCCATGAGCCAAGATCACACCATTGCACTCCAGCCTGGGTAATAAGAGTGAAACTCGGTCTCAAATAATAAAAATAATAATAATAATAATAGTAATAATAATTTAGTTACCTAAAGCCTCAATATGCAGTTCATCCTCCTTCATATATCATTCCAGGCTCAATTTGACTTAGACTTAACACCTCCAAAACTTTGCAGGCTGAAATTACCCCATGCATATGATCATGTAATATCCCAAACACACATTGGTACAGGTCTACAATCTTTTATATGTAAGTATAAGTAACTCACTACTTATTAAACATACCATGCAGTTTTCCACCTTGTAGGAAGTTGCTTAAGATTTTTATTCTGCCTAGAATGGGCTTTCTTTAACCCCAAGTATACCTACTGAAAGCCTGTCCTGCTGTTCAGGTCTAGCACAATTGCCCTCTTCTTTAAAGTGGTTCTCTATTCTAAGCCAGAAAAAAAATCTCTCTCTCCTCTCTCTCTTTTTTTATTCTCATGGCACTTTACAAAGCTCTTAAGATATTTCTCACATTCTTCATTGTTAACTGTTACTATATCCCATGTTAGACTATCGGTGCCTTAAGTTTAATTCAATTCAATGAAAGTGTGCTGAATGTCTATTGTGTCAGGGACTGTGCTAAGTACTCATGACATTCATATTAGAGAATCCCTGGAATTGTTTACAGCGTAATGGGTAGATAATTCTGCCTTGTTACCCTTGTAATCTAGTCCAGCACCATCCATGGAAGGGATTCAGTAAAAATTACTGAATTCGATTGAATGAGGTCAATAACAATCATAAAAATGACTCTAAGGGTAGTAATGCTTGCCTTTCATTGAGCATATAATATACAGAGCTCACCATGCAAACATTGCACATATTTTTGTTGATTTTAACTTTCATAACAGTCCTATGAGTAAGGGGCATCTCTAAACAGAAGGAATAATGCTAACATCGGAAATAAAGTTAGGCATAAATTTGCCAAAATGACAAATTTAGTTAGGTTCAACCTAGGCTTGTCTAATATAAAAAAATCTTTTATCTAGTCTGGGGCTCAGTCAGTCTGGCCAAACCACTTGAATTCTCTGTGCTACAGTTTCCCTGTTGGTTAAATGAAGTGGAAGCCTCATGGTACTAAAACTCCTTGCACTCATTCTAGGAGTCTGGAGTTTTTACTGAGCTTCCATTTGGATGGTACACAACAACAAAAACCAAAAACCCACCAACTCGTAGTATTGCTCCACAATGCCATATTTGAAGTTCTAAAATCCAAAAGGCTCTTATTACTAATCTTTCTAAAATTAAATTGGCAGCAAAAGCTAACTTGAATTGTTGTGAATATTTATTCTGTTTTTGAGAATATTTATTTATTTGACATATTGAGAGATACTGACTCAGATTCACTGAGAGTGTTAATATACGGTATATGCTCCTTGTTTCCTTTCTAAAACTCAAACATTCTGTACTCATATGCCCCTAAGATTTTCAGATACAAGACTATATACCTGTCCCAATATGTCAACATATTAAGCTTTGAAAACCAACTTGAGATACTCAGAAGTTCGTAGAGGTACACTGTAGATCAGCAATCCAAGAGCAAGGAAACCGAAACCACCGGAGAGTGGAGGTGGTGCTACCGGAGCCATGGAAACCACCCGAATATTGTGGAGAAATTGCTCATGCAGATCTCATGTGGGGATCACATGCCCATAGCACTGAGCTTTTTGTGTTTGGCCCTAGCTTTGGTAAAACCATAGCTGATTAATATTACAGGCTTTGCTTTGAACAAGAGGGCACTGGAGGTGCATCCAGGAGGTGGCATTTCAATAAGCAGTTGCTCATTCTTGTGCAGTGATCTGTTGAAGCAGTTGGAATGGTTTTAACTTGGAAAGGCCATCTCTTTTTTCTCATTTAAATATTTTCTCAAAAAGCATGTGAAGAATTAGAAAGTCTCTGTCACTGTTCTTCCCAAGGAACCCCCTTTCTGTGTTTGACTATCCATTTCAAATCTTGATTATAGGACATTTGGAAACTTGTAAAATTCTACGTCCCCAAACTAGAAGAATATTTTTATGAAGTGGAATTGTTACACAGACTGTCTCTTTCAAATGTCAGTTTTTCAAGGTTTAACAAGAAAAGATTGAGTTGGCAACTGAAATAATATATTCCTGCATTTCTCAAATGTTCAAGTACATGTTCATATCTGCCACAAATGTAAATTTCAGGCGATTAGTGGGAAGCCCAAGTATTGGAAATAAAAAAAGGGGGAATATTTGTGCAGAATTTAGTGCTCACTTTAAGATTTAAAATATGAGTGCTCTTAGCAGGAATGGTTTAAATAAATTAACTAAACAAGCATTAATCTTGTATTCTATGTTGGGCACTATAATAGACTGAAAATGGCCCTCCAAAGGTGTTCATGTTCTGATTCTTAGGAATTTTGAGTATATTAGCTTGCAAGGTAAAACAAACTTTACAGATGTGATTAAGGGAAGGATTTTGAGAGGCGGAGATTGTCCTGGACTATCTGTCTGGTCCCAGTATAATTACATGGGTCCTTAAAAGAGAGAGGTAGAAAGATCAGAGTCAGAGAGAAGAGGTAAAAGAGATAATGATTACAGCAGAGGTCAAAGAGAAGAGATGAGGATGAAGATGGGAGAAGAAGCCATGAGAGAAGGAATGCAGGTGTCCTCTAACTCCTGGAAAAGGTAGAAAGATGGATTCCACCTGAGAGCCTCCAAAAAGAA